GCGCGCGTGCGCGCGTCACGCGTGCGCGCGTCACGCGTGCGCGGGCGCGCGTGCGCGCGTGCGCGCGTGCGCGCGCGGCGCGCGCGAGCGCGCGTGCGCGCGTGCGCGCGTGCGCGCGTGCGTGCGTGCGTGCGTGCGTGCGTGCGTGCGTGCGTGCGTGCGTGCGTGCGTGCGTGCGTTGTGTGTGGGTGTGTTGGACTGGAAAACTCGACATCATGGATTTCCTGTCTTCCATTGCAAAAACTTGTCAACCCTAAAGAAACGATGACCTGGTGACGTTCATTCGCTTTGCCCAATCAGCTGAGCTGGCAACGTGCTTCGTTGAGGAGTTGAGCAGCTGGCGCGCTCCTCCATTGACAGCTCGAGCAGCTGATCCACAAAGAACTGAGTGCATCGGTTCAATTGTAACTTTGACATGTCGGGTGCACTGATAGCGCTTGCGTCGGCGCGACAGCATCGCCTTGCAAGATTTGCATGAGGAATGTTCAACGACGCTCAACAGAGCTTCATCCCCTCTGTGTTTGTGGTCAGCCTGCTGTTGCTTCTGCAGCTTGTGTGTGACCTTGCGAGCTGCAAGAGCCACCTGTGTCAGCACACGTGGGGAGGCAACGGATGGTAGCAAACCAACGGATGGTAGCAAACAACCAACGTACACTGGATTGAAAATCTACCACCTTCTCGATGGCTGCTGCACGTTGAGCCTCCATCTCCGGGTTCCTGGCTCTGACCCTCTTGAGATTGACATGGCTGACGTGTTCGGATTCTGACGTGCGACTGTAGTCACCTGTAGCTACTGTATTAACCTAACTACGAGTCTATGACTTGCGTCGAACTGCTTTGGACATGCCAATTGGAGTATTTGACCCGGCACGCATAACGACAAATGAAGCCAACGCTTGCGTTGGGCAGCCTGTCCATGGGGTGCTTAGGCGCAGGTGCTCCAGAACCTGGTTCCAAGAACCGCTGCGCCTGGCGAAGGCAAAGCGTCGAAGTCGGCGCATGTGCAAAACGAGAACAGTCCTCGTAGTAGACTCAGAAGCAGCAGTAGTGTAGCCAGTGTGGCCATGCTCATGCTTTCATCTGATCGGCTTCAAAAATATTCAGAGCCGGGCCTCCTCCTCAGCCTCTATGCATGCTGCGATCGAATCTGTGTGTATCGACACCTGGGCTGTACATTCCACTCAATTCCACTGTCCTGTCCGACACTCACCTACACGCTCGCTGGCTGCTCACACGAAGAACCTCCTGATATCTCCTAATGGGGCCAACGCGGGCCAACTGGGCAGCACACTTTCAAACTTGTACGCAGCGATCCAGACCTGCGCCTGGCACACTGCCACAGTAGTATCGCAGAATGACAATGGTGAACGATGCTGCATGCACCGACTTCAAGCACCAAATTCATGGCCTGATGGGTCCCGTCGGTCGTTCCGAACTTGGTTCAGGTGCTTAGTGCTACAATGAGTACCGGGGGACTACCCGTGACTACCCGTGACTACCCGTGACTACTGTCTTCTAAGGCCTGGGCTCTCCATACTCTTCCTCGGGAGTGTCCGTGCCGTCAGGGCTGTGAACAACCTGCAAGACCTCCTCGGGTATGGTAATGCTCTTGAACGTCTGCGAACGCCGCCTGTCCGCTCTCTCCATCGTTGGTTGGCGTCTTCGTCGTGCCTGACATGTCTGCGGCTCTCTGATATTCTCTGTCTCCGCCAGTGCTTGCGCGGGTCGGCTGGTACGTGTTTGACAGCAGCACGCGATTTAGCAACGTTTGCAAAAGACAGATTTGTTCGTTTGTGCGGTAGTGGAAGAACAGACGTCCTTAGACAGCGCTCTGTGCAACACTTCCAGTGTTGGAGGCTCTCACCGCACAGCATGAACGGCAAACCAGTGTCAAGGCAGATTCAAATGGATCAAAATGGAGCTCAAAGCTCAAGGATTGCTCAACGCTCCCAGCTAGCAAACCGAAGCGTCACGACGACGCACAAAGTGCGCGCACATGGTGAAAAAGCATGCCTATGTCAACCTGCAGATGCACGCCTGCCGCCTGACCTAGAGTATTATTTGCAGACATCACGGCTCCAGCTGAATTCTGAACCCAGCACGAGTGCAAATTAGTCAGCAGCTTCTCCGGAACCAATTCTATATGTTGTTTCAGTGTCGTATAGCTCCGCAAAGCCATACACTTGAAGGGCTTCCTTTGGACGCCAACTTGTCGTCAGTAAGCTGCTGTGTATTGTCATATTGTTGTTTTGGTGTGGGACAACCGGAACAACTCTAGTGATCACCATCCATCCACCATCACACTGTCGAAGAACCGGCAAGTCCGTTCAACATGCTTTAAAGCGCAACTGTGTGGCAAAAGCGGGGCAACCAATGCACATGATTGGCCTTGTCAGCGTCAGGCCTCTCACAACTCCCAGGCTCGTCGACTTCCACTGGGTCTTCTGCGACGTAGCCACTTTGAGCCTCGCAGGACGACATGCATGACATGATCATGATCACGGCGACTGCGAACAAAAGGTTGCTCTGCTGGATGTTAGCCATTCAGCAAACTACTTGTTTTGTTGTTCGCAGATAGCCGATAGAAATCGGATTTCGACTGTCAATCGCCGGTCAGGACCGGGAAGATGGAGATTTGGAGGACAAGCCTGGCCACCAACTTTAACAAATGTAACCTGACAATGGGCCGGCTGGCACGTTCCTGCAGCATGGACGTCATCACTAGGTAGGCCTGGATGATCATGGATGCACTGTGAGGGAGCGGATGGCCCCAAATGCATTCAAACGCGTGGCCCGGCCTCGGCGTCGATGCCAAACAACGTTTCTAAGGACATAATCCCCGATTGGAACATCTATGGACCCCATCCCCCTGCGGCCCTACGGACCCCCATCACCCGCCGGAGCCCGAGAAATCGCGACACCTGTCCATGACACCAGCACATTCTGGCACAACTAGAAAATAATACAAACCCAGCGGCTGACCTGTATCCAGTTGACGTGCAGCCCGAAGAGGGCAGCGTGCGGATTAGTCAAAATCTGCTACCGAATGCGGGAACTTACATTGAACTCAGGGGGCAATGGTTTTGCAATGTCTCTCACAGGTCAAAAAGAAGATGGGCGGCAGAATTGTCAGGCTTGTCTTTGCCACATTGCTCGTGCTCGCTCACAATAAACTCGTTTCACCTCGCTTCCATATGGCTACCAAAATGCTTTCGAAAACTCTCTTTGTCGCAGGGCCCGTGGCCATGTGGAACCTTCTTGGAGGGTTCAAGGGGCCCGAATGCTCGAGGCTTTCGAGTTCAGGCTCCTTTTCCTTCAGTGCTTTCCCAAGCATGTCGAGATGTGCTTGAAACACGTGGCTGTCCTTTAGTGTTTTGTTGCGCGTGGGCAAATGCTCAGTCTTCGGAAAGATTGCACACAAGCTTCGCGTCGCAAGCTCTCCTAACGGCCTTGCACGCCTTTGCTAACGGTCCGACCGTGCCTTGTCTATCTGAGCACTTTCTTCAAGAATACTTCGCAGCTGAGACTGGCGGGACGGCTGCTTCGAGGAAAGGCTCCGAACCTCCAACAGCACTGCTCTGGACATCCAGCGTGTTTGTTCAAGCAGGATGGCACCTTCCGCATCTCAAGATCCGCATAGCCTCCTCTTTGCGACCTTTCCAGTGGTAGACTATGCACCTGGCATACTTCCATCTCCAGCGATTGTTGCAGCATGCAATGGTAACTTCAAATTCCTGTCCAGGACTACTTCACTACTACGTCTCTACGTCTCTAAAGAATTCTAAAGATGCCTTGTGCATTGGAATGTTGTCATCCTCCTCGTCCTCCGAATTGGAAGCGCGGGATGACGAGCTGGAGCTTGAAGTTTTGCCTTCGCCTCACTTGCAAATGCCAAGCATCTCACTTGCAGGCACACACGCTAGCACCTCGCAAGTTGAATCGTCGCTGTGAGATTTTGCAGCGAGTTGGGCAGGCTGGCAAAGGCCTGCATCACCAAGCTGCGCTGCAGTCAGCAAGGGCTGGCTCCAGCTCGAATGCCGACGACGGGCCTGACATGCTTTAGATGCTCCACTCTGCACGCCTTCAAAGGCTGCTTAGAAATGAGACCCTCAAGCTCCTCAAGCTTCCCACACCCTTTGCAAGCAGTTGCCTAGTGAGGGCCTAGTGCGAATTTTGTTGAAGATGCAAACGAGCCCTTGTCAGGAGCTTTGATTTGCGCTTGTCATTCGATGTGCGGCAGCACTTGTGAACTCCCCGAAGCGCCAATGGGCAGAACTTCTGCCCTTTGCAAACTGTTTGCCAAGTTGGAGGTCTGGAGAGTCTTACGTGTACCTTTTCTTGGGTCTCCCGACTGGCGGCTTTCTTGACTTCTTGGACCGAAATGTAGCTGTCATGTCGAAAGCCCCCACAGTGGCGCCCTTCGCCCTTCACATTTGCAGGGCCACTTCCGCGTATCTTGCACAATTTCCATTTCTGTACCAGGCGAGCTCTGCCGATTTCTCGTGTGCTTGCTACGTATCCTACGTCGTCTCGTTTGGGTTCCTCCAGGTCACAAAATGGTGCTATTTGCCCGTGCTGCGCACAACAAGTTCTGTTGGGCGCGTCTTTAACTTAGCACAGTCAGCACTTTTGGTGCGGCTCTCGCTTCAGTGTTGACAGCCTGGCGAGCTTCCGGAAAGGATGCCATGGCGTGCCATCGTCTGTGCAGGCCAACAAACCTATGGATGTCGTTGAATTCAGTTTGCAAGGGGTCGGCATCGTTGCAGCTCGACAGGTTCGAGAGTATGACTACTTCAGGGGGTGCTCCCATGTTCTCATTTTCCGACAATGGCTGCACATAGGTTGAAGTCTCCATCAGTTGGAAGGAGCTGAAGCAGCTGCGGCGGTACATGTTACGTTCAAGACTGCCTGAGATGCCAAAGCGCAAGCAAGACTACCAGTCCACATCATAGTACAACCTTCTGCTGCAGACGCAGGTCTTCCTGCCTCTGCCACTTATTTTAGACCCCTCCGATCACAGCCAGCTGGTCCATCCTTGTGTCGATAGCTATGCACTTTCCAACGAGGAAGCCCAGTCCTCAAGATCACAGGGCTCTCATCGCAGCAATTCTGGAAAACCTGTGACAAACGCTCAGTTCGCCACCCAGCAACATCACGTCCTGCAGCACTTGAAAGCTGCCAGGCATACCTCTGAGCTGTGTCCTGGGCTCAGCCTCTAGGCCCGCTGACAAATGATAGGAACGGTTTGTTCTTCGGTGTGTGCACTTCTTCACCACTTTTTTCCTTGTAAGAGCGGGTGGGTGGTAAAGTCTGGGTTTTATGAAAACATTTCTCTGTGTAAAGTATCTGAGAAATATTTGGGAAGTGGAACTGTGAGTAAACGGAGAAATATTTGAGAATTGGATGGTGTATTCACTGAACATCTGTCAAAAACTGTGAACCATCTGAGACAGAACTGTGACATGGATCTCAGAGAACTTCAGAAGATGTGACATCTGTGGCCGGAAAACTTGCATCGATGTGTCACAAATTTTGCACAGATTTGCAGGGTGGGGAAGGGCAGGGTAGGGGAGAGGGAAGGCGGGGAGGAACGGGAGGGGGGGGGGGAAGGGGTGGAGGAAGGAGTGGGGGGTTTTGGAGGGGGCTATATACATTGAAGCTGCTTGTAAGCGTCATGCCATCATGCTGCAGCTCAGCAGTACAGCAGCGCAGCACAGGCCTCGAACGGTGGCTTGAACTGAACTCCTCCAGGAACCTGATGGATGGCAATTGGGAGGTACTGTGCGGTGTAGCCATTGTAGTCGTCATGCACATCGGTAAGTTATGATGACCGACCATCCAAATTGGAACTTCGGTCCCGGTCACAGCCACGCCGAAAAATAACCCCTCACACAGAGCGTCACGTTTGCATTCGCGGCTGGTTCCACACACATTCACTTTGTGCAGTAGTTAGTTACTTTAGTTCATATTCCACTCGGGCCGGGTGGGGTCATCTCCCCGAGAACCTTGTAGTTGGCAATCGACTCTGATGGGCCCACACCCGCCTCAGCTGTTGCAAACTTTAAACCACAGACGCAATCTCGCATGAGACACCACAACACATCATGTCGACTCCTGTCATGGATTCCTAGGGGATCCCCTGCAAAAGAATCCGCGGGATAAAGGATTGATGAGGAACCCAAGGATATCGAGCTTCAGGCGTATTCGGCCCTTCAAATCTCAGAGACTCTTTTGGGAGATCTCCCTCGGGATCCTATGTGTCACAGACACAGCAGTTGACTCGTCCCAGAAACCCAAGCCATCTCGTTGATGGGCGTAACGAGGTCAAGACCTATCCCATAGCCTGAGATCAAGACAACTCAGTCCAAGGCCCGCAGGTTGGTTTGCTGGATCTATGAGCTGCTAGTACTCGTGCACTGAAGTGATGTATCGAAGATACAGTAGGTTCTGAGATGGCAGCTGGGATGCCTTCCCATGTACCTGAACTGAACTCGCTAATCAACTTGGTTGATGCAGACCCTTCAATACAACGTAAGTGGCGGTTCAAGGCTGGGGGGGGTTCAGCGAACGCCAAGGAGAGCGAGAGAGCGACGGGGACACAGAAGGAGACAGAGCGAGCAACTCATAAACAGGCTCGAGGTCACATGTCAAAGCACACGTCTGATCCCGAAGTGGTTTCAAAGGCAACTTGCACCTTGCGAGCCTGCAGGCAACAAGAAGGACATGTGAAATACTTGTGAAATTGTGTGCCGAAGTCCGAAGTCTCAACGAAGCTTGTAGCAGCAACCTGAGACCAGGCCAATCCAGTCTGTGCTGCGTTCTGCGCCATCCGCCAGTATGACTCATACAGGCCTGCAGGCATCATTGGGCGCTGAGCAGTCCTACAAGCTTCAAATTCAATCGTTGAAGACGCATGCGGCCTGGCGTCATGGAGGCACCTGTGGTTCCAGTGTCGAAGATGACCAAAACCTGCACAAATGCGACCGCGTCCATGGGCATGGTATGTGGCTTCATCCACCTTTCGAGGACGCGAGCTTTGGCTGCCGAGAACGACCTGAAAAAGCCACATCGGCCGGAGGAATGCTTCGGACATTTGAGACTCTTCGAAGTGGTTTCTCACAGCTTGCGGCTTGACCGCCCACGTGCAGCATCTTGACCACCGCGCAGTAATGCTTGACAGGATCTCCCCACCTTCGGGTATGTGTTGTTTTGCTGGCACCGGGATCTGTGTCTGTCTGTGCGTGTGCTCGTGCGTGTGCTCGTGCGTGTGCTCGTGCGTGTGCTCGTGCGTGCGTGCGTGCGTGCGTGCGCGTGCGTGTGCGTGTGCGTGTGCGTGTGACATGGTTACACGATGATCTCCGTGTCTCTGTGTCTGCGTCTCTGTGTCTCTGTGTCTCTGTGTCTCTGTGTCTCTGTGTCTCTGTGTCTCTGTGTCTCTGTGCCTCTGTGTCTCTGTGTCACGTGCACTTGACCCCCGAAGGGGCCGCCCCGAACACTCTCTCTCTCTCTCTCTCTCTCTCCTAAGCACTCAAACACCCGATTTCTGCTTTGTGAATTCATTTACGAATTCTCACTCGTGCCTCCGCGGATCAACCAGCTTGATCCGAGGACCTGACCAGCTTTCTCCAACAAAGAACATGCTCTACACATTCACTTCCAGTGCGTTCCAATACGCTTCAAGGCGGCTACCCTGACTTCATTTGTTCATCTCCGACCTTCAACCACTTGAACCGCTTGAGACGCTGAAAAGTTTTTGAAAAACCAAAGCTTCGCCTGAAGGCCACAAGCTGACCAAAACATTCCCAGACTGACTGGGTTCTGATTTCTGCTGATGTCTGCTGTGCCTCTACGCCTCCCTGCGCCTTGCTATGGAGAGTCGTGGCTCTGTGGCAACATGGAGAAATTTAGAGAACAAGTGAAAGGCAGCAGGGAGAACGGCGTTCAATTGCATGACCCTGTGCCTTTTTGACTTTTGACGGACCAAAGGTGCGCAAGACATTGTACGTAGTCACCACGTGCCCAGGTCTCGCGGTAACCTCTGCGCTCCCTATATACAAGATCTGACCATTCTGGGTAAACTCATGGAGGCCAGACATGGGCACCTGAGTCCTTACGGACGTTACGAGGCATTGCGTGGTTTCTGAATACTGCGCCCAACCACTCCCAACCTCTTCGTGACCAATCCCCAACGTGAAGCACAATGTCTGCATCTCGACAGACGAGCATGTGCACGGAACGCACTCGTCAAGCAAGGTGTTCTTCTACGTGACTGTACGCGTCCGTGCACTTATTCGACAGATTTGCCGGCGCTCGAAAGTAGGGAAGTATCAGCATGCTCGATGCTTATTTCTGCGCATCCGAATGTACCCCCCGAAAGTCTGAATGCCAGCCATCAGCACGGTCAGCACGCCAATATCTGGCAAAACAGGGGCCTGCAGCGGGGAGTGCCGATGCTTGCAACAGCCGCAACTTCTCTCTTCCAGGCACTTGAAGATCGACGACCAAGGACTTCAGGGCGCCGCCACAACACATGCGACACTGCAAGAACTAGGCCCTCGAATCAGCTCGCTTTAAGCATAGCTTTGCCAAGGTGTATCCTGTCCTTGCCCTTAACTGGTCAGCTGACACTGATGCAGCTCAGCGCCTTTGTTGAGCAATGTTGAGCATCTAGGGTGGGAACACTCCAAGTAGCACTGGGATCATGGCACGTTGCGGATTCGAAGTATCGTCGCCAGGAATGTCTGATCTACCAGCGCAATGGCTTGTCCGGTGATTCTCACGTTACTTCGCTACTTCTCGCTACCATGCGCCCACTCAAGCCATCATCATCAATCATCCATTGCGGACACTTAGCATCGTCTCCTTGGAGCGTCCCTGGAGACTGGACCCCCTTCACAGCAAAAGAACCTGATCGAAAACGATGGCAACTTTAGCCTCACCCGCCTCTGTCAACTGCTTGCCTAACGTCTCTCAATCAGATCGCGCACTTAAACCAACCCTCTCCTGAAAGGGCGTTTGCTCCAGGAATGATGTCTTGACATCTGACCTGAGACTCAGGTACAAGCAGAGCTCCACCAGCAATCGCCAGTAAGATCACGACATGTGGTCACGAATAAGGCCCAAGAAGACTGCTTTGCCAGTTCCCCCGAAGCCGATGATGCGACCCTGAATGGAACAGCACTGAGAAGGGGAGGCCATCATAGTCACGTCAAAGAATGGAAACAGACTGGTCACAGTCTGGATTGCAAGACTGCCTGCACCCCAAATCTCATCTCCGGTAGCTCAACAGCTTCTGTCGCATCGGGGAATGTCAGCCTGCCGCCTGCCAAACTCGATCTTGTGCTACGGGCTAGCAGCTGCCCACAAAAATCGGCTTTCTGCCTCTGCGCCATGCAACCTCAGGCCAGGGGGAGGACAAATGTGAGGCGTCATCGGTCTGCAACACCCTGTGGGCCTCGACAAGTCCGGAAGCGTAGCCTTCCACGCTGTCAGCTTCGCCGCTCGGAGCACCCTGCCCCTCAAAGCAGCCCACCTGCACAGGACTTGCGCGTGCCATTGACTATTGACTTTTAGCATGACTTTGCCAAAGCATCAACTAAGCACTGCAAAGAGGGTTTGCAACCCTTAACGAACTTGACGTAACACACCGCACCATCGGCATCATGGGGCGCGCAATGTCGTGCACGCACGCCAACCTACATTTGACTCAATTTTGAGGGCCTCGGCGCAGTAACTTCGGCAGTCAGGACGCAAACATTTTGCCAGAAGAAGAAACGGTGACCCAGTGTCTGCCACGGCTTTGATCCTGCTCAGCACATCAAGCGGCTACAAAGAGCGGGCCTTTCACACAGCAGGCCGTAGGAATGCACATCACCCAGTTGGCGGAAATGCATATCAGCGGCAGAATTACACATCAGGGCAATCCCAAGTAGACGCTTTTCCTTGAGCTATCCAGCTATCCATGAACATGGATAGAACTGCAGCTGATTTGCTAAGTATGTTTTCACATTCACTGTTCAGACACATTCCAACTCGCCAATCCCAGAACTCGACGATTGGGCCATCCAGGGACCTGGACTCAAACACCAACTACACCAACTAGGCGCTGCCGAAACCATAAACAACGCGCAACAACTTTAAACGTGCCACGTCAATATACTCGAGTTTCTCTGCGGTTAGCATATGGATGCCGAACGACTGGCAACTCGCGCCTTGCAGCTTGCAGTTTGTACTCCCTGCAGCTTGTGCTCCCTGTAGTTTGCAGAAGTTTGCATGTCACGCCTGTGCTCTTGGAGCTGCCTTGCAATGTGCGGCTCACGCTTTGCACCTGGTGCCTTGCAATCGTGGCATGGAATCACTGTCATCTCGGAAACGAACTGACGAAATCAAGGAACTTTCTGACGAATCAACTTGCCGGAGCGACGACATTGAGGCACTCTAGAGACTCGAGACTGTGCTCAGGAGTGAACTTGCCACCCTGGACCAAATAGGCTTTCGCGTAGGTCGCAAAACTATCAAGAGTGAGACATGGACCGGGGAACTTGAACTGAAGCGCGGCTCAAGCGTACAACTGGTCCAAAGCTATGCTGATACCCTCTTTTCAGAAACTGCGACGTCGGGGTCTGCGGTGGCAGTGGGATATAGTGAAGACCTGCGGGGCGAAGCTGGAGTTTTCATCCACCCTGTTTTGGAGTTGCGCTTATGGCCCTTGTTCTCGTCTTTGCCCGCGTAGTTCCCTTTGGGCGGGTCAGGGTTTGGCGGTGGCTGGATCTGGCTTTGGAAGAATAAGCACTCTTCCGCGAAGTGGATCCGCGCTGACTTGATTTCCTGGCTGAGCGGGGCCTGGAGGTTCTAGCACTAGACGTTTTCGAAGAAGATCATTTCCTTGAGCCCGGCTTTGCACGGGAGTTTGAAGCTTGCGCCCCGCTTTTCTCGCTCGGGCAAGGTTGTAATTCCTGGCCAAGGCGGGGTAGTGTCTGGACAGGTAGGGCGAAGCTCCATCTTGCGGTTGCGCAGATTGTCGATTAGCCAGAGAGCACTTGCCCTGCAGCCACTGAACACTAGCACTGCAGTAACGAATAGCTTGTCAACGTCAATCGCCTCAACTTCGACATTCCTTTCCATGCCTTGCCATAGCTCGGGGTGGCTCGGTCCGAAAGGTGAGGTCGGCAAATTGAATGGCAAAGGAGCGCATAGAAGCACGAGCATCATCTGGCAATTCTCCGGCATAAGTTGCAAACCAAGAATAAAAATCTTTCAAGCTTGACGCACTGCTTTGGAGTGTGAAGCACTTGTTCGAAGTACGCAGCGCTCTGACGATGGAGCGCCAGAACGAAGTTACGGCATTCCTGCGCACGCCTTTGCATAAGTTCTCAAAAAACACCCTTTTCATAATACCGGCAACACGAACGTCCTCATTGCGCGGGCATGGATGCTCGGCACTTCCCCGCCTCCCCCCCAAAAAAACTTGTATTGAAAGCAGCCCCACCCTGTCCCGACATGCATATTTGCCGGGCAGACCTGTTCTAACAAGACTAGAAGTTGCAAGGAGGAAAAGCAGATTCGCCTTGTCTTGCGTCACAGTACAACAAGTTCGATCCACCTTTTTTGGATGGAGACCTAGGTTCAGCCTGTCTTTGTAGGTGTTTGTAGCATGACATGATCATACACCGCGCACCAGTGCTGCAGGCTAAGGACGAGGTGGAGTGCGTCTACGAAATTAGAGCCGAGCCCAGTTCTGCAAAGTCAACTCCCCCACTTGCGACAGTAAGATACAAGTTTTGGATTCCATGATAAATTTTTAACCCCGCGAACAATGTGCGACTGCAATTTTCTGTTTGTGATTGGACTTGCTACCCAAAGCCATTCCTGCGTCTATCCTTGCCTGATTTCCTTAGTCAAGACAAGGCTGTGCTTGTCTTATCTTGCTTTATGATCACGTCATGCCTTGGGACGCGGAGGGGGTGCTGGAAATGACAGTTTTCGGAACAATCGCCGCCCTGAGAGGCCTGGCCTTTTTCTGGCTACTGTTTTGTCGTGCACTCACCGGCATGAGAGGCCTACTGGCCGTTATTTGTCCTCCTGTCGGTCCTGTTTCCTGTCCTGCTATCTCTCCTCGTATCTGTCCTCTTGCCTCTTGCCAATCCTGTCTCATTTATATCTGTCCGCCTCATACCTGTCCTCGTTCCTGTCCTATCTCCGGTCACGTCCTCTTATCTCGCTGGAGTGGTGGTAGAACGCTGTTGCCGGTGGTTGTTGTTTACGGGTGCATTGGCGGCATAGTTGTCCTCAATATCTGACAACCCACTGAGGGTGGGGAATACTTAACTCGAAGTTGGCCGGAGTCAGCAGGTCGCTATTTAACCTTAGAATGCTTCGACAGAGTTGTCCTTCGCTTGCCACCGAGCCCGCTGTCACCTTGGATCTGGACCCTGGAACGAGGTTGTTTTTGTGACACGCTGCCAACGGATCGTCTCACTGCAGAAGAGAAGCTGCCAGAGTCCAAACTAAACTGCAAACAGAATCCTCCTGCTGCCCACCACAAAGGTATGTCGACCTCGCACAAGTGACATCGCTTGCCATGCAAGAGGCACTTTGTCACTGATGGCCTCTGAGGTGCGGCTGCGTGCTCTAGAGGCCCTAGATGGCAACCTTCGGGGCTTTACAGCGCTTGCCCATGCTTGCCCAACATATGCAGCTCATTGCAGCTCTGCCCTCACTCAGCCCGCGGCGCCAACCAAGAAGCGAAACCAAGTACAGCTCGTCGGCACCACCGGAATGACGAATCATCTGAGCTGATGACTTTCCTTCCTGAGGGCCCTGAGGGCTGGGACAGTGGACGGCGCCTTTCGCAATGCCTGCGCCAGTCAAGCAAGCCAACTATAAGACTATGCCAAGCCATCGCACACTGCGTACACTGTATATCACTGTATACACCACGTTCCAAACGTCGTTTACAGCAGAACAAGCAGACCAGGATCTGGTCTCCCGCCCCCCCCCCTTCTCCCCAAATGCCCAAGCAAGCATGATAACCCTGCCACCTCCACACCAAGCACAGCTTCGATCATGGTTCCATGGTTCTGTGAGATGCGGGCCTCTGTCTTAGCGTTGGGCTGCAAGCAGGCACTGATCCATTTACCTAAGTCTCATGCGTGCGCGTCTTCTGATTGGAAATGCCGAAAACCTGCAGAGTGGATGCGGGCGCAGCAGGAGTCATCGCGCAAATCGAAAGCTGCCACCATGGCTTTCGCCATCTGTTGGCGGATTGGAAGCTGGCGACATGAGCTCATGTGATACGTTTCGGAATTCACACTTCAGGATTCATTAAAGTTCAGCGAGACTTGGATCGAACATCGAAAGATCCGGAACCCATGAAACTCCATGACAGCCTAAGGCAGCTTCGGAGCTGATAACTTCAGCGATGGCATGACGACACAAGGTTTTTGAAAATGTTGAAAGCTACGAAGTGAAATTTTGCGCACAGCTAGCGGACATGCACAAAGCAAAAAGTCTGTAAGACTGTAAGATTGCATTGCATGGCGTCACTGAGGAAATACGGCTGCAAGGGAGAGTGCAATGGGGTATCAAGCGCGGCCACTCGAACTCGTTCGTCTCGCCGGTCCCCGTTGCCCCTCGTCCACAGCCCCACCTGTCGACCGGACCCACCTGACCTCGCTCGCCTCTGCATTGCCCTTCATCCTCATTACCCTTCACCCTCCCCATCCCGCCCCGCCCGTCGACATCCGTCCACATCGGTGCGATCTCGTCCGCTTCTCTTGCCCTTCATCCCCCACACCGCTAACTCCTGCTACCAGCTTGTCCTGGGCTCAGTGGGCTCCATCCAGCTTCAGCTTGCAATGTCCAATCCAGCTGCCTAGCCAGATTCCCCTTCCACGCTGCACGCGGAGCCAGGACAGGGAATGTTGCTCAGCCATCGGAAAGTATACATGGCGCAGGTCTGAATAAAAGAGCTAGGACTGTTAAGGATTCGGGCCAAACCAATCATTCTGCACGCAAGTTTTGCCAAGGACACAGCAGTTCAAGTGTGATAATGTCGGATATAATAAAAGATAGAAGTGTCACCTGCTCTGGCAGAGCACTGAGTAAAACAGCTGATTCAGTCCTCCTAAAGTCCGAGAGCATGGAGCGATACAGAGCCTAACCCCTCCCCGCTCCCTTGCATTGCACCAAACAACTGCATTTCATGCGCGACCAGGCCACAAGCAGCACATCTCTGAACATGAAATCACTGCTGCCTGTGTCCCGGCTTGTGCGGACAACCCAAGGCAGTGGCAGGTATTGCGGACATGTTGCTGGATCTGAATCTCGGGGCTACAGCGGCTACAGTGGTTGGTAGTGATGCAGGGGGTTTGACACAGGTCAACGAAATGGCAATTCTCAAAGACTTCTGAAAGGAGCTTCGCCGGAATAAGCAGCACCCGGATTGGCCCTGCCCTGCAAGGACCAAGCTGTGCCGGAAACTTTCGAAGGAACACCACTCCAGTTGTCCATCACTGAACCAGCAACATAGCCAGTCACAGCATTGCGGACACTTTCCTGCAATACATTCGTCCAAACTGGCCCCGTATACGGCGACGACTGGGCAGCAGACGCAGCGGCTTTGCAGGGCCTTCTCAGGAGTGGAGATGCTGATCGCTGTCGCGGCACCAAGGCCGGAGCACCAATTGAGGGATTTGAGGGTTCTATGCTGGATGTGGTGCAGCGAACCGTCACGGAAGCACCGGTACTAGTCAATGATTGGGTCAAGGAAGATCTGGGTGTGCGTGTGTCAAGCTTGGCTTCGAACTGGGACCGTCGCATAGAATTTCTGTCGGTGCTCCGGAACGGTTCCTTGGGATTTGTAACGTCGTCATAGCTCCAGGCCTGCCGCCATCCTTCTCTTTGCTGAAATGCCGGTTGCGGCTTGAGCTGTGCACCCAGAACTTGTTGCTGTGGCGGCATCCCATGCGGAATCTGCAACGGCTGCGGCTCAAGAGGCGAATGGCCATTCTGAACAATATGCCGGGACAACATCCGGGCTTGCTGCCTTGGCTGTGTTGGCAGTTCTGACGGCCTTTGTTGCACCCCGCTCGTTTGATCTGCGTTGCTGAGTAGAGTCAGCAAGGTTCGAACAAGCAAGACCATGGGTTCACTCTTGCCGTCCACCTCTGCAAGGTGTGTTGATGCAAGCCCCATCTCTTCCAGAGTACTCCTTAGGTCAGATAGACGTCCACTCAGAACTTTGTCCAAGCCGCTCTGTATGCAGGAGGTTTTCAAAACCATCCAATTTCCCCCGCTGGAGAAGCAGTTCATCAAGGAACTCCAGAAAGTCGAAACATCTTCCCAGTAGCGATACCACGCATTTTGAAGGCTCCGGAATGTGTGCAGGAATTGGCGATGCTCCGCTGAGCCCACCAAGTCGGCAGGAAGTACCGGCGACATCTCCATCAGGACCTGCGATGGCTTTAGGCTACTATTGGCCGCTAGTCCAGAACACTACAAGTTACTACATTCAAACAGGGACTGTGACATGCAAGGTGGAGTGTCTTCAGTCGGCATGCACCTGGAACGGCCAGGATCTACGGCTGCAAGCCTGTGCAAGCCTGTGCCCTGAACATAAAACTTGGCCCACCTGCAACGCAGTAATACCCAGCGCATGCAGATCAAGTCCAGTCCTGAGGTTCAAAACAAACTCTCTGGCCTGCTATCGTTTCTAGCTTCAAGTCGTTCTTTCTGGTTTTATGCTAGATGCCGGAAACCGGCCTGAATTCAAAATGCTGTTGCTTCTGTCTAATTCGGCATGGGTACGTACTTGGGGGGCCCAAAGGCTCAGTGCCTCGCCCCCTGGGCTTCTGTGCTTAAACTTCAAAGCATTGGCCTCACGCTTGTTCAACTGCCATCATCGAACCTCCCTCTCCCAGCATCTACTTAGGGCCCGCCTCTGCAAAAACATACAGCAGCCTAAGGGGACCCTTTCTTGACTGACACTGTCTCATTAGTTGCAGCGCACGACTAAAACAGACCGACTCTTGCTCGATGGCTACCATAGGTTTTGCGGTGTCAAGAGGGCAATTGCATGTACACACAGACATGTACCCGTTCAAACCAAAAGTGCAGCGCTATTGCAAGTGGCAGCACTTCTGAGGGCAACACTGGTATTCTGCCCGTAGTACAGACCCTGCAATCTGTGCAACTTCAATCTCAAATACCCACACGCTACAACAGCAGTGCAAAACATCGGGCCTGGGCGCAGGTCCTGGAATGGCGTGCGTGTGCGTGAGTGAGAGAAAGAGAGAGAGAGAGAGAGAGTGCAGGTGTGAATGTGTGTGCAGCTCAAGAAGTCAGGAGACATTGCACATTTATATGGGACTCGGTCGGTCCTGTGGACCGCGCATGAACATTATCCATGATGACAATGGCCAATAGCCTGGCTCTGAACTCATACAAAGGTCACGTCAGTGCACAACGACGCCACTGTCGCGGCATCTTGTTCCAGACTTTGAGCACGTTGGCCTTGTTGGCCACATATCTGCAACACTTCCTCTCATCCTGGAGATTTCTCTGCTGAGAGATTTGATCGGCAGATGTTGCCAGCCCACGAGGGCTTGGGCAATAGCTTCCCTTGTCGCGACCTCCGGCAAAGCTGAAGCCGAGGAGGTGATGTGTTCGGAAGAGGTGCAGGTTCGATGAGTTCGATCCAATTCCCATCGAGAGCTACTGGAATTCTGAAAGTGTCAAAGGGTAGGGTGAGGAAATCCGCCCATCTGATGACAAATTGGCAGGTCCCCGAAATCATCAAAAAGGCTGCTGATGGGCCTTGAACCCATCAAGAACGCAAATACGGGAATCCCGTTGATCGCCTCACCATACCGTATGCTTCGGGCACACCAAACAACCCTCCCAGGACAGGCTTCTCCTCAACATGAGGAAGTTAGCTCGATGGAATGATTTCTTCACAAACCCTGCCAGGTTTCTGTTTCCCGGTATTGATGGGGCGCCCTTGTCCAAAGTAGAGGCCATCGAACTCATGGGGGAATGCGATCGCGAAGAGTGGCGTTGAGCTGACACATCCGAGGGCCGTGGTGCTGTGGAGCCCTACGGTCACTGCCTGCGCGTCAGCGGGGCACAGTTGTTGAGTCAGTTCGGCGTGCCGCTCTCAACTATCATGTTGCCTGGGCGGTGGGTATTAGCCTTGACCGTTACGCGCAAGAAGCCGAGCTTGAGACTTTCAGGTGCGTTTTGCGGGCGTACGGCGGTGCCGCTTTGCGAGGGCCACCAGCGCCGAGGGAGATATGGCGTGGAAGAGTTGGCGTTGTTGGGTTCGAGTTAGGGGATGGATGCCTGTGTCAAAGCGCGCTTGTGAGCTTGAGCGTGAATTTGCTGAGTTTGTCAGCTCCTTGAGATTTGCTTGCATGTGCGCGGAAGCTGGATTGAGTGAGTGAGTGAGTGAGTGTGCGTGCAAGCGTTGGCGGCGTCGACCACCGATGTCCAGGAGATCGATGCAATCTTGGCTGAGTGGGAGGGAGGACGGGAGGTGGGAGGCTGGGTGGAGGTTAGGGCGGTGTGAGGGTGTGGGAGGGTGTGGGAGGGTGGGAGGCTGGGAGGCTGGGGTGGCGGGAGGTGGGAGCGTGGGGGCGTGGGTGGTGGGAGAGTGGGCCTGCGTGCCTGCGACATGTTTGGCGAGGTTCGACAAGGCTGTGAACCCAGGTTCATAAGAAAGCAGCCGGGCCGGCAGTGATGGCGCAGCCTGTGCGGCAACAACGACTTAGACCAAGGTGCTCCAAGACGTGCTAGCAGGATTTTGGCAAGCGCAAGTCGCTAAGTACGAGTTAATCATTGACGCCCAACAGTCCCAACAAGTCTTGGCCCGCATCGTTAGGGAGCTGAAGAGCGAGTTGTTCACTTCGGCTGGCTTGGGTGAGATCGTACAAGGCCGATAACCAACGGAGGCAAAGACTGAGGTTCCGTGGCACCCCTCAGGGGTGCGCTGATCTTCGTAGAGTTTGCGAGTGAAAGATCTATCAATACGCATTTGAAGTTGGATCAGCTGCGCATATTATGCTGGGAGCCTACATCATGGATCATTGCCCCTTGCCTTGCGTGCCAATGCAAAAGTTCCAGAACGTAACCCAAGAGATCATGGGGGGACAATGAGTTCTAGAAAAGCTACGTCAGTCAAACAAATAGACGTCGTCTGCACATCCAAACTTGCACATGAATACAAACATTGTACAATTTGTTTGGCCTTTGTTTATTCACTTACTTACTCACCCGCCCCCCGCCCACAGGGGCATCCACGCTTTAAAGGTATGGTGCGCCCTGGCGTGCTGTGCGGTAATTCTGCTTTGTGGTGCGTATTTGCTTACTGCACGGTTGCTTTGCTTTTTGGTGCGTTTTGCTTGCTGCGCGATTGTGGTGCGTCTTCGTTTACTGCGCAGTTGTTTTGAGTATTGGTGCACCTTCGCCTACTGCGCGGTCGTTTTTTGCTACAAGGGAGTGGGTTATCACACATCAGGCCGTGAAAATACACATCACCCCAATGTGGACGCTCATGCAAAGAATTACCCATCAAGCGAGAGAATACACATCACAAGATACGAAACCCCAATGTGGACGCTATTTTTGGCTGTCAGCCACGGAGACCTCAAAATCCACCCAACCTCGCGGACGCTTATGTTTCGGGCCATTTTTACATCAATCTGGCATACGTTTTGGCAGCAAATCCCGAAGGAGACGTTCGGTTTGTATCAACATACGGAACGTTGATCTTCGAAGCCTGTACTGGCCTTACACACCTGAGACCCGCAGCTGCTCAAGTGCACACTGCCTGCCTGCTGCCTGCTGCATGTGTCTGGCGGACCAAACCCTGCGACCGAGACCGGTTTTGATATAGAAAAAGTGCATTAGACCAGCTAGCACGGAAACGTCCTGCCAACCGCCTTAAACAAACTTGAAGCCGCGGTGGCAGCTTGGATCAGTGCCAAGTCTTGTCCAAAATGCAAACCCAATGTGGAGATTTGACGCAGGCGCTTCCTCCGACCATGGGCATGGGGTGGTTTGCATGACAGACCCCATTGTGGAAGCTGCATAGGCTGAAAACTGGACGGCTAGGATCAGTGCCGGGTCCTGTGCGGGACCTGCAAGACCCCAGTGTGGACGCCGAACGATGTGTATTAACACCACGCGATGTGAGATAAACCCCCCCAGTATCGGTGTGTCTTTGCCTGGTGCCTCTTCGCTTACTGCGCGGTTGTTTTGTTCATTGGTGTTTCTTCGCGTACACTGCGGTAGTTTAAGGGTAGCGATTTATAGTTTTGAGCCATGTGTTTGCCCCTGTGTTTGGTCTCATTTCTCTGGATTTTGCTCGGAAAACCTCTTTCTCTGTACCGAAAAAACCTCGATCCTCTTCATATCTTAATAGGAAACCCGCTATTTTCTCTACACGTTAATGAAATTCGAAATCTCCATTTTCTCTAGATTGGAAGCTATGTTGTTGTTTAGTTTACTCTAGTTTCTCCAAATATTTTGATAGGAAAGCTGTGTTTTCTATTTCTTTTCAGGCAACTTTTGTTGGCCTCCTCACTGTTTTTTTCTCTATGTGCTGTCCCTTCTCTCTATGTTTTAAGTAGGAGAACCTCTTGTTTCTCTTGTTTTCAGGATTTGTGTTTTGCGCTTCCGTTGTCTCATGTATCTTGATGTTACTGTATGTTTGTCTATACTTGACTGGAAAGGAAGCATCTACTAACCTCGATTTTCATCATTTTTTCGAGGAAATCTCGATTCTCTCTATATTTTCGAAGAAAACATTTAAATTTATCCTCTGTATTTCTGACAGAAAAAACTTGTTGGGCATGATCGACGGATGGGGGGCGCAGGCCCCCCCCCCAATTTGCACCCTAGGAATGGCTGGGAAGTGACAGGTCTCCGCAAGGCAACACGCGCCGGTGCGGCGGCAATCTCCACTGACTTCCACATGCCTCCAGGCCCCATCCTCCTCGCACGCAAAAACATCAAGTGTTGAATTGATACGAGTTGACGCTCTTGAACGAGCCAAGGTTTACCACGAATGCCAAGCAAGCTAAGCGACCTCCTTGGAGCCTCCAAGCCACTTCTGGGTGTCAACTGCCATGCCGAAATCCACTAGGCCAAAGCTGGTCCGTCCTCCCCGACGCGATAAGCCAGTAAGCATGCCCAGTCAGCATGCAGCAGCATCAATCAGCTTTTTGAGAACTCCTTCCAAACGTCTCGCAACAAGGTCCTGGTGAGCTGACGTGATCCACCAAGATATTTCTCCTCAGTGAATAACATCATTGGTTCGAGCTGATTGCCGGCATTGAGCATGCAATGAGGTGAACGAAACAGTTCCAAAGCAGCGCACGGATTTACGTCGCGGTGGTAGACGACCCGTGAGAGCTCTTGCAAAGCCGGCCTCGGAATCACATCGATTGACCTGCCTGCCTTCCAGCATGGTCGTCTCTTGACACAAATGAATGACTGGGTCACAGACCCCAGCTGCGCCAGCAGCTCCGAAGCGATACGGCAAGGCTCCAAAAGAAGCCTGGCGGAAACTCGGCTGTGGGAAGAGTCTACCGGGCCTACCTTGGACATGGCCTCTGCATGGCCTCTGCACGGAAAATTACGGAAAATAGATGTGCTTTGGCACCTCAGGGCATCCTTCGCCGGCAGCGCGTTTAATGATGCCTGTTTGTGGCAACGTAGCACCAGCCTTGCAAGATGCTCCCTGGTAAGTGACTTGGGTATTTAACGCTGTTAAGCTCCGTATGCAGTGGGGTGAGGCTGAGACGCCAGGGGCTCTCCAGGAAGTCTCGACATTGCAAGTCTTACACGCCAGCCCTGGCAGAAGTTGCTCCCAGCCATGGCTGCAAAGTTGATGTCGGAACGGAACGAATGGAAGATTGAGGAGGCGCCTTGGACCCAAGACCTTCCGTCTCTTCTGCCGCCTTAAGCGAATGCTCGAAGCGGACATGGTTCAACTTCCAGCCCAACTGGGCTCTGCGCCATGTTCGGGATGCGTGAAGCCAATGAACATGTGCTGTCCAATGTGCCTCTTCACTCACGTGCTCGGTTCCAGTTGCAAGGTGCGAAGGAACTTGCCACCAAAACTGTCAGGAAATACTGTTGTCCAGCATTGAGTATTTGAGATTATGTTCTTTCCGGGCTTCTAAACTTGTAGCACTACTGTAGAGCAGGTCCTAGCAAGGAGGGGGCACCCAACATAGGGAGTTGAAACCACAAGCGGGAATTCCAAAGTGCAGCAAGTGCTGCGGTTCCATGGCCGCAGTTCAGGATCGTTCTCTCTGTCTCTGCCTACCCATGCCCAACAGGCTGCTCATGGCAAAAGCACATCGGGCTCAACGGGATTTTCTTCAAAGGCACTCCTAGAAACATGACTCTGCCACTGCCAAGGCCGCCAAGGCGGTAGAGAAGTCGCAAGGGGGGCATGGCCAAAAGCCCGACCAGGGCGGTACAAAAAAACATAATCAAAAGCACAACCTTCTCTTGCGGAGGCGAAGCACAAGGCAGGCAACATTTCTGGGAATGGTGAATTTTGAGATGTTGTTGATCCTTGTTTTGCTTTTTGTTCGGCTCAAATCGCGAGCCGGCGCACCAAAGGAAGCCCTTCTGCTCTAGTTGAAGCTTAATTATGCTAGGCTGAAAGCAATGAAAACGGTCGGGAAAAGAGACTAGGTGCCGGGCAGAACAGGTTTGAGATTTATTTGTTTTCTCGAGACATCGTGCGAAATGCGGTCGAGACCAGGCCGGATGGCATCTTTTACCTAGACCTAAACTCCTTTCGAACTTGGTTTTCGCAGCTGATCCCTCTGCGGCCATTCTTGTGTCGAATGGCGGAACGCCTGGCCTGCCATGGAGGAAGTTCCACCGAGCCTTGGGGAAAACACAACAGAGAGTCTTGGTCGCTAAACATCAAAAACCCGCCTCGCAAGAATGTTGCCTTCGAACAAAGCATTGTCGAGCTCAGCCTGGGCCCGGTGTGTTTGAAAACTTTCCTCCAAAGACCACAACGACTTCTCCCGCTGTCGGCGTGCCTGTGAACGACAAAAGATCTCTTTGATCGCATATTCATCCTCAGAAAAGAGCGAAGCGGCCGAGCATTTGTGAAACCGCTATTCTCTCGCATGTCGAGGTCAAAAAGAGGCAGGCTAGGCATGGCTAGACTACGTGTTGCAGCTGGCTCGAGGTGGGCCTGAGACAAACTGGCATCCTCATTTCGAGCACACCATACCTCCAGCTCAGCGGGCTCGTTCAACATCGAAGGGAGATAATGAAAGATATAGATGAAATCGCAACACACTTTACGTGACCTACTGAGCATACCGCAACTCCATAACTGCCAGTTCCGAGAGGTTCAGAAATTCGGAACCTGCAACGCAAAGGGTGCAGCATGTTTGTTTTTGCAATCGACACAGCGACAAGGCTTTGATGAACCCAAAGAGTCGACTGTCGAAATTGCAGTGGCATCACTGTTACTCCCGGACATGCGTGGCTGCAGAATGCTGTAAAAATGCAAACTCACCGTTTCAGAAACACCAGTGGACCTGAGTTGGAGCCACCGCCCCCCCCCCCCCCCCCCCCCAACCAGCACAAGCCTTTTCTCGGCAATTCTGACCACAATGCCCTCGCGCAAGGTCACGGGCCTCACACCCGGCATGCCCGTGCAAAAGCTTGAACATGGAGGTACCAGAAAGGACATGCGTATTGAGATGCGGTTCGCAGCTTGCACTGCTGGCCTTTCGCAGTTCGGGTCCCCTCCTTTAGCTCGAACTTCCCCAATGGCATCGGCCGGTTCTGGCTCGCTCGCCTGAGGCATGCCATACGGTTTTAAGATCAACGAACATCAACCAAATAACAAATCAAACATGTGGTTGACAATACATTATCGACAGATGCATATCTCTTATGCATCTACTTTTATATATTAATACTAACACTGCTCATTCATCTATTTGTTGGTGGCGATGTTGATACTGATGTTGATGTTGACGCTGGTTGCTATGCAAATGGATAGTCACACTGATATTGATATTGGCGTAGATACAATAAAGCTTTCAAGTCATAATATAAGCTATATAAATCCGCCGAGGCCTGGGGCCGTAGATGTCTGGGTAGCACAAAGCAGGCACCCCACCTCCAGTCCCCAACACATGCACCCCCGTTTTTGGCACGTTCTTGGCTGGAACGGGTACCCCCCCAACAAACCAGTGTGCGGGAGCGGACGGCGCAGCAAGACCGGGGAGCATTTGGGCCTGACCAGAGCAAACCACCCCCCACACCCGCCCCACCACCCACCCCCAACCCCGGCCACTCCTAAAACCAACTCCCCCCCCTTTTTCCCCTTTTCACACCTCTGTTTTCATCATTGCTTTACCACTCTCCCTGGGTGTTACAACAGGGTCCCCAAAAAATGATTGCACGAAGCCTGTCGAAGAGCGGAAGCCTCACAGCCTAACTTCAGCCACTTGCCCCGCTTGCCCCGCCTGCCCCACTCGCCCTTGCCGATCTGCCACCGTGCTTGGGGGGAAGTGGGAGAAGTGGAGGTGGCGAAGTGGGGCAAGCAAGTGGGGCAAGTAGGGCAAGTGGGGCCAGTGCAACAAGTGGGGCAAGTGGGTCACCCCAAATCTCCCCCCTCTGCTCGCCCAACCATAAGTCTGCCTCAAATCGGGCAGTACGTGAGGCAGACTTGGGGGACCCATGGCCAGCCACAAGTCTGCCTCAAAACGGGCAAGGAGGGGAAGGAGGGGGATGGGGAGGTTTGCCCACTTGCTCCACTTGCTCCCACTTGCCCCACTTGCCACTTGCCCCATTTGCCCCCCCTTGCCCCATGTTCAATGGTGCGGTTTGGCCTCGCCACAAGTCTGCCTCAAAGACAGCCTGGTTTGGGTCAGGCTTGTGGCTGGGTCAGGGCCTGCTACCCCTTGCCGTTAAAGCCATGGCAACGACAAGTCTGCCTCAAATCACTGCTGTTAAAGCCATGAGGCAACCGGGGCAAGTGCGGCAAATGGGGCAAGTGAGGTAAGTGAGGCAAGTGAGGCAAGTGGGGCAAGCGGGGCACGTGGGGCAAGTGGGGCAAGTGGGGCAAGTGAGGAAAAGGGGAAAACCTCGATTAGCTCTTCCGTCAAAGCAAGTGGGGCCACGGGTGGTGCTATGTCAATTAGTGGTGGCCGTGGGCGCCGGCAATGTAACGTTGAGATTATAGTTGAACAGGTTAGAACCTGACCTAAGCCTAAAAGGGGAAGGACCAGGCACAACCAAAAGAAGGGTTCAGGGACCCTCAAAGCCCTCAACCCTGCGTGCAAGCCGCACCTCATGCGGCCTTTTTACTTGAGCCAAAAATGGTCAGAAGGTAAGTCATCCTAGTCTGCACAACATGACTATACATGCTTTACAATAGAGGAAGGAAGCTCGTGATTCTTCAACTCCCCCCTTCATGTTTGCAGAACTTTCAGTCGCCAAGCTCATTACAGCTCGATTACGGACTTTAGGAAGACTGCAGCTGCAAGCTCAGCTCAGCAGCTAAACCTACTGTCTATTGTGGCGCGGGCTCAGCCATGCGCAGTTGAATCCGGTATCTCAGGTGATCAGGCTGAAACACAGACTCAATGAACCTTTAAGGTAATTCTACCTGCAATCTATACAAAACTACTCTCAACCGGTGCAGGACTGTGCTCAGGCGAAGTCAGAGCGGCGCTTGGGAGCAGCCGGACACTGACACAACGCAGTGCAAGGCTGAGGGCAGGCAAGAAGTGCAGGATGAGATCCTCAAGAACTCATTCAGATGACACAGGGATGATGGCTCATATCCAAGTGTCTGCAAAAGCACGATGATGGAGGTAGCGCAGGAGCAGCTTGACAACCATCACAAACATATCACCCAAGGAATTTTCAAAAGACTTCAAGTGACAGGGAAGTGCATGCTTAGATGGGAACATCTGGCAGATGCTCAGTGGAGATGTGGAGCAACTTCAGCGCATGAGCCCACTTCTGGACCGAAAGAGCCTTCGTCAAAGGATCACCTTTCTGGTCATTAGTGTTGACATAGCCCAGTTCAACATCATCGTTGTCGTTCACAGCTTCGCACGTAGATGAAACGTTGATGCGATGAGTTTTGGACAAATGCCTCAGCTTAGCTGAATATCCTTTACGGACAATGGCAATGCAAGCCTCATTATCTTCACGACACAAGAGCTTAATGCCAGGGATTATGGTTTGCCAAACTTCAAGTAATGGCAAGGCATCATTGAACAGCGCACTGCTCAAGGACACGAATTCTGCTTCGGTAGAGCTCCTTGAGACCACTTTCTGTCTCTTGCTGGACCATGACAGAAGAGCAAATGAGTTGCTTCCTTCAAGGGCAACGATATACCCACTTGTGGAACGCGCGGTGTCAGGACAGCCGCCGAAATCTGAATCCACATACAGGGCAAGGTGCAAAGATGAAGCTGGGTCGTGGACAAACATCACAGGGTTGTATTGAACCGTCGCAGCAATGTAACCCACCAACCTGGCAACCCTTTTATCATCGTTCACTGACCAACGACAGACATTGGTCGTGAGGGTAGTGACGGCCACCATAAGATCTGGGCGATTCAAACGTGCAAGCCACAGAATCTTCATCAGGATGCGAGCGGCGCTGTCAGCAAGAGAACCCCGAGCATCATTATCACTTAGTGATAGAGCTCCTGGGTCAACATGCGGGGTCCTCTGGTGCTTAACAGCGGAACCAACCAAGGATTCATACAAGTCAACACACTGTTTGGCGAAGTCTTCAGTTTCCAACGCAAGGGCTGGTTGATTGTCATACAAGACGTGGCGATGACTGCGACCAAGCACTCTGGTGAGAGGAGCATAAGGCTCGAGGTCAACTTGTTTCGACAAGGAACTCCAGAAACCTTTATGCTTCGACAACTTCCCGCTCAATGTGAGGTCGTCAACATATACGCACAAGATCAGATCCAATGTGGGAAAATAATACACAGAAGGAAGGTTGGGGAATTCAATTCCACCAAGACCAGTGAGAATGCCATGCAAATGCCTTTGCCAATGCGCTGATGACTCAGGGTGTCCGTACAAGGCCTTGTAGAGCGGTGCACAGGGCTGAATTACGTCTCTCTTAGAAGCTGGGACGAGTTCTGGTGGCAAGAGGACGAAAGTTCGGTTTTTGCTCTTCAAGGCTGCTTGTGTATACGCCTTAATGGCGTCGCTAGTTGTCACACCATGAGATTCGAGAAGACCGAATCCAATGACCGTGTTCAGTCCCTCAAGCGAAGAAGGGGCAGACGCGAAGAGTTCTTCGAACACAGCAGACATTCCAGTCTGGTCACGTATATCGTCTCCACGAAAGACGATACGCGCCTTAAGCTTCCAAGAATCAGGCTCTAGTTCGGCGCCTTTCACACTCATGATGACCATCAAGTTTCCGAAGTGGATCACATTGGAAGTCCTGCGAGCCCATGCAAGAACCTCACTCTTCGGCATGATCTCTTCTTCTATCCAGGTACCTGCCTTCAAAAGACCATCCTTTTCTTCTTGGACCTTTTCAAGCGCAGCAGGCTGGGAAGTCCATTCCCTTCTATCCAACAGCCGATGGACGTAACCAGGGATTCGGATGTGGCGCATACCAGACTCAAACATCAGGAGATCGAGCGGTAGTGGCGGCCGACCGTCCTTAACCCTGTGAAGTTGAGGAAAAGTGGGCACACATGGCAACGCTGGTGCAACAAATGCTTTCGCATAAGGAAACAAAGATGCCAAAATTGCCCTGGCCATGGCCTCAGGGTAAAAGGCTGAGCGTCTTGAGTCTGAACCTTCAACGGTATCGTGCTTGAAGTGCTTAGGATGTGAACACTGATAAGCCGCAAAGTCATGTGCCAAACGCTTACTACTAGTCAATATCTTCCAAGGCTTCAGCATTGGGCCACCTCTGGAAGACACAAGTCCGAAAGCGCATCCGTGGAACTCAACGGTGAGAAGATTGAACTGGTCAACAAAAGCAATGATCTCAGGCAAAGACCAACCAGCAGCGTCTCTTGGCCACTCGAAACTTACTTCACCCCCCTGAAGTATGACTAACGCAGCAACCCGGATGAATTGCAACAATAGCTTCCGGGATTTCTCCCTTTCGGCGGTAAGCTTTTCAAGGTACCCCGGTTTAGTGGCCAGGTTCATGCGGGACCACGCTGACCAAGGTCCACATTCAAGGGATCCATGGATGCAGCAACCAGGAGTTGCACTGACTTGGTGGATGAGCTGATCGATGGCCAAGGGATCCTCGAGATTGATGCTTTCACGGCACAACCGAACCACTTGAACACCCAGTTCTGGACCAAGGTGCCCAATCATGGAATCCGGAGCGCAGCAAAACTCATAAAGTACCAATGCACCAGGCTTCTGATGCCGACAGGCAGGCAAAGCTCCAACACCGGGGAGTGCTTCATCATCTTCGGGAATGGAAGGTTCGTATTCCGGCGTCCTGAGGAAGTCTAGCTCTGATTCAGCATCTCTTTCTGTAGACCTACCCAAAGCAGCAAGTTCCACTTCAACTGCTTCTTCATCGGCTGGGTCGATCTCAGGCGGAAGATCAGGCAAACCAAGATGCTCGAAAGACAAGAGCTTCTCGTGATCCTCAAAAGGTTGAGACGAAGTTTTGGCCTCGTCACCGAACGCCTTTTCAAAACGAGCAACACATTCAGGATTGTGGTCGGAACGGTCTCTTTCACAGGCAGTACAACCTGGAGTAGGGCCAAGCTTCAGAAATCTTGAATAGGTGATGTAGATCCTTCGGGCCTTTTTCTTGATGTTGGCTTGGTCGCCTGAGAAAGGCAGAGGAAGAGGATCTGGTATTACGAAGTCTTCTCCTCCACAAAGTTGCAGCGTGTGTTCGGCTGCGTTTTTGAGGGGAAACACTGGATCGCCAGATCGCACATACAGTTCTGCTTCAGGAACAGATATTACCTCTTCCCAAGAACCAAGTTTGAATCGAACTTTGGCTAAATCCAGCACGTATACAACCGACCTATACAAGAACCCAGGCTCCAATCTCCATCCGGCAAACAACCCTGGCTTGGCATTAGGACCAAACTTGCTATCTGCTCGTGCCCGATAGAAAACAAGTTGGCCTAAGATTAATTCCCGAGGCGGGACGTCTTCGGTATCGAAGTGCGCAACTGCAAAGTCCCATCGTGAGAGATCAGATTCGAGAGGAGCAGGATGCGAAAGGTTCATCGCCATTGACCCGTAGCGGCAAGCCACTGTCCACAACTCAGGTCTGACAGCAAACCCTGCTTCAAGAAAAGATGACCTGACCCCTTCTTGGAAAGACCGAATTTCACGCTCAAGTTGAGAATTGTGAGGAAACCGGTTCGGCAATGAAGGCATGTGTAACCAGCCCAAGGTTTCTGCAGCAAGCTTGAATTCGTCTGCTGCATCAGAAACCAGCGATACCGGTTTGCTGCACACTTTCCTCCCAACAAAACGCTTGAGGCATGTCAAGATGGAATCAGTTGAACGATCTGTGGCAGGGTAAGCAGCAAACAATCCTGTGAAGCGATCTCGAAGGCACAACACCACATACTCTCTTCCGGGAGCATTGGAGTCACTAGGTGACTTGAACACATGGATGTGATCAGCTGCAATAACCTCTCCAAACTCAGAAGCTTCAAGCATCGCGGGCTCAGAATCCTCATCACGAGGCTTGCGGCGCACCCTGCGGGATAAGAGTTTGGATCGATTGCACACATCGCAGAACGGGTTCTTTGGGAAATGGAATAAGCGATGCTTCACGCTCACAGCTTCATCTCTCAATTTGCGAACTCGATCGCTGACATGGGCATCGTCCACGATGGGAACTCCCGGCGAACTCACATCTAAAGGCTTGTCCCCTTCAGGAAGCGCAGATGCAGCTGGACCATCAGGGTTTGCCTCGACAAGATGTTCTTTGGGCAGCCCCCCTGACGACGAGGAAGGCACTTCGGACGACTCAATCTCTGCTGGAATGACATCAACCAGCGGGTGACTGTCCAAAGGAAATCCAACTCCTATGAGAGCATCTAAGACATCAAGCTCAAGAGAAGCTGGATCTTTTGCTGCGTACAAGATCATCACCAGCCGATCACCAGTCCAAGGTTGCGTGGCATGTAGTCGATTTTTGGCAGAGAACTGGATAACCCCTTTCTTGAAACTCAAAATCTTGCCAATTTGCGAAACGCTTGGAAAAGGACATTTGTCTCTTCCTGCAGCATCTTCAACCCAAACACCACCACCGGTAAAACCCCCCAACGAAATGACAACATTGTCGATCCCAGCATTACGGGAATCCTTGTGAGGATCTGCGGACACATTGCGCAGCAAATTGATGGTGGTGTAAACATGTCCAGGGGCTTTACGCTGCGCAAATTGGTTCAATGCACGAGTCACGAAAGGGTACTCCTTCGTAGACTTCAAAAGACCGACCACACCACCTCGACGGAAGCAGCCAACTGCAAAGGACGAGTCATTGCTCGGCTCAATCCCTCGGGGTGCTGAACCACGCTTCACAAGTCCAAAGATCTTACGAACTTGATTGGGCTGAATATCACCACGCTTAGTTAGGAGGTCTTTGGCATACTCTTCAGCTGGATCATGGGCAAAGGGGGTCGAAGGCTTTCGGCTTTCCTTACCAGACCTTTCAAGAGAATCAGCTGACGCAGCCACGCCGTGGACAAACTGAACTTTGCTGGTGAAAATAGGCACATGCTCATCTATGCGCGTTGCATAAAACCTGGCCTCCTCAGCGCAATCAATCCGAAGCTTAGACAAGTCATGCACGAAGAAAGGAAGGGAACCAGGTAACCATATGAAGGCCTTCCCGGATTCAACATCCAAACCGGTGCTCCGAACAACTGGACAGTTGTCCAACATGTAGTGGTTGGCGAGAGGCATATTGTCGGACGCAAATCCCAAACTCTGAGAGCCAGGCTGAGGTCCACCACCTGTGTGGAACGTAACAGGGCTCGCTGAGTGCGCAAGAAAGGACCTGTACGACTCCGACGGAATTCCCTGGTCTGCCAGCGCTCGCGCCGATCCAAGATGCCGACCAGCAGCTGTGTCGGCAGCCCATTCAACGCTGAAAGCGTTGCTCCCAGGAATGTTGCACATGCTTGAGGCAGCCATCATTGCCACGACTGCTTTTGCAACAGCTCCTGGGGACTTGGGCTTGGAAGCGGCGGCCTTAGGCTTAGACTTAGGGTCAACCTTAGGGGTCTTATCAGGGGCGTGGCTGTACTTGCAATTCTCACCATGCATGCAACCAGACGACATTCTGAAGAAAATGCAAGGTGTCTTGGCTTTTTCTGCATCTGACATGCCTTTTGCCTTCGCTTTAGCTTTTGTCTTGGTGCGGGATTTGCAGGTACTGGAGCCTTCGGTGGAGGTCCAGTGGACACTGGGGCAGGAGTCTTGGCCTTTGGGGAACTCCGGGATGCCACCTTAGTCTCTGCAGGAACTCCCTTTGTCTTTGCCTGCGGAGTGGCAATTTGCAAAGACTTCATCACTGAGTGAGAGTTTGCATCTTCTCGCTCTTGAACAAGGATATCTTGTATTTTGTTCCATAAGTAATCCCACTCACGACGACGGGATTCTGGCGCAGATTCTCTGATATCCTCGATGATGCGTTCCAACTTTCGAATATGCTTCACCCGGTGGAAAAGCCATTCACCAGTGAGGCGATCATCTGGCCTCTGTCCGACAGGTATGGCATACAGAACAGTCCTTACGCGTTGCACAAAGTCTCGGAGATCTCGCATGGAGTTTCCCCCGATTTCAACCTGGAACAACGTCGAAGCAGTCAGCACAGTACCTCGAACACGGTCGATGCTGAAATGACGAGCAAGAAGGGCAAGCATGTATCGACCTTTCGGCTGGGACCGTGCTTGGCCGCACAACTCAACATAGGCAATTACCTCTTGCTCCAACTCAGTCACTTGCTTCAACACACGCAAGGAAGTCATCTCTCCAGCAATCCAAGCGTCAAGGCGAGGGAGAAAACCAGACTCAGTAAGGTCTTCTTTTTCAGCTGTGAAAGACTGAGACAGCCATTCAACGACCAAACCTTCTCCTGACATATCAAGCTTGGCAATTTGGACCAACAACGCGTTTTTCCAGGCTCGGAAACCAGCAGCGTCGGAAGGAACAGGTTCAAGCTTGAGATGCAACAAAGCTCGGTTGTCAACAATGTGCTTCTCTTGCCTCTCAGGCTCTTCGATCTCATGAACAGGAGATGCATCATTGCATCCTTGATCCGTGCCATCTCTTTGGGCAAGCAGTTGCTGGACGACATCAATCAACTGATCAACACGAGGGTCGGTAACGGTTGCAGGAGGGCAAGGGGGTGACTCATTGACAACTTGCGGCAATGAAGGTGCACCATTATTGTTCCCATCCGAACCGATATGTACCCAACTAGAACCACCTGAACAGGCACTTGGTGCAATTGCAGATGGCACATCTTGCTGGCGAGGTGCAGTCTTTGGAGGTGAAGACCCAGGACTCGTGGCGCTTAAAGCAGCCTGACGAAGTCTCTGAATCTCACGGTCTTTGACTTGCAACTCAACACGTAGCTGGGTGTTTTGGAAGTTCAGCAAGTTGTTATCACCCCGGCAGCTGGTTAGGGCGGCTTCAAGCTCTTGGTACCCTGCACGAGCAACCTGAAGTTCAGCTTCGACTTTGCTTAGCTCAGCCTTAGCTACGGATAGCTGTTCTTCCAAGATTCGACCCTGTTGAAGGATCTCATCATAACGATGTTCGTATTGTTGCAACTGCTCACGCATTTGCTCAGCGGTGGCTTCAACCAAACCTCTAGCCTCATTCTCTACCTGCTCTAGCCTTACAGCATGTAGCTGCTCAGCATGATCAGCCACTTGCTGCGCTGCTTGGGCTGCAGCCAAACGTTGGGCATCCAGGACTTCTTGTGGGGACGCTCCTACGTTCAGGATGTTCTGCGTGTATGAGGCTTGAGCGGTTAGATTCGGGTAAGGTTCTGAGTGCTCACGAGTTCTGCGAGGTCCCGACAAAGCCCGTCTAGTCAGAGGAGGGGACCTTTCACGGAGCTCAACTGCAGAACTACTCGTAACCGAACCACTATCTGAACCGATACCACCCGGCAATGCCATGGCTGAGGCACTCGATAGATCAAGTACCGAACTAGCTTGGTTGCTAGGGTCTGAGGGGGAAGACATTGCCTTGAGAGGTGGAAGCGCTTAGCAGCAGCTCAACGCACCCTTTCTTTTGGCAGAAGAGGCGAGGCTCACGGTTGGATCTGCAATCCCCTCAATGTCGCCAGAGGAGGCGCTCAGCGCCGGACAACTGGACGAACAGCCCCAGACCTTTAGGCGTCCGGAAACCACTTCCGCACCTGACCTTTGATAGCGTCAGTACACTCCGGAAAGCTGTCAAAGGAAGGCACGGGAGCACGCGGAAAAATAGTGCGCTGTCCACGACTCCCCTTGGATCTCTTCGGAATGGCAATATGCAGAGGAATCACGTGCTCAGAGCCCGCCAACTCGTCACAGACATCCGCAGAGTCGTCGACGTGAATGATGGGGAGCTCAACCTCCTTTGCCAGATGTTCCAGCACTGCACGCTTCCCCAACGGACCAGTGGCCTTCCTCGTAATGAAAATGAGGCAAATAGGCGATTCCCCGATCTGCGTGAAAAGCGTATCACAGGAATTCACTGTCGTCTCAACCACGTGCCTTTTAGTGTTCCTCGTGATGACAGTAACTGCAGACGAAGAATAAGCCCCCGTAGCGCGGAATCAACGAATGAAGATCGCGCAAGGCTGCCACACACTCTGAAGGAAACTCGGGCCTAGGATCCGTCCAGCTTGTCGACTTCTTGTGATATCGATCCAACACTCCGTGAAAATCCAAGCTCAAACCAAAGGAGAATCTCTCGAAAGCAGGTTCCGTAAGCTTCACCTTAACACCCTCAAAGTCCAGCACCTCTGTCTTCAGGGGACGGAAGTCAATCACACGAGGATTTCCTGTCACCTGAGGTGGCGGAGGATGCGAAGGTTCCGGCACACGATGCAGCACCTGAGCCGATGGAGGATGCGAAGGTTCCGGCACACGAGGCGGAGCCTTCGGTGGAGTCTTTGGAACCGGAATGCCTGATGACAAACTTCGAGGCGGAGCTTTCGGTGGAGTCTTCGGAGCCGGAATGTCTGATGACAATGAAGCCGATGGAGTTAACAAAGGCTTTGGAGCCGGCAAAGGCCTCTGAGTTGAAGAGCTTGATGACGAAGAAGCGGGTGGAGGTGATGGAGCCGTGGTCTTCGCCTTCAGAACAACAGTTGAAGGATGAAGTCGATGAAACGGACGAACTGGCGTAGAAGGCGGCGGAGTCTCCGGGGCCTGATCGTCAATAACGATCACTTCTGACTGCTCTTCCACAGCCTGAAAGGGAGCCGTCCTCGGACGGCGCACTACGGATCTTGTAGATCCGTCAGGGCGACGGAAGGGAACTTCGGATGGATCAGCGAAGATGCCCAAGTCCTGATCGCGCAGAAAGATATATATTTGATATGCTTTCCGCTTCCTCTGGGCTGCGGCGCCCCCTCGAGTGCCTCTCACACCGAGAGGCCTTGGAATGCGCTCTTCCTCACGAGGAGGGTTGCAGTCCATGGGTCCTCAATCCTAGACCCTGAAATCTACAGAACAAACAGAGCGATACGGAGCTGATAACCAGTTGAACAGGTTAGAACCTGACCTAAGCCTAAAAGGGGAAGGACCAGGCACAACCAAAAGAAGGGTTCAGGGACCCTCAAAGCCCTCAACCCTGCGTGCAAGCCGCACCTCATGCGGCCTTTTTACTTGAGCCAAAAATGGTCAGAAGGTAAGTCATCCTAGTCTGCACAACATGACTATACATGCTTTACAATAGAGGAAGGAAGCTCGTGATTCTTCAACTATTATGGAGGACTTTTTCTGGCTACAGGTTGTGCAGTATAGATATAGTTTTCGATATATATATATATATATATGCTGCCCCCCCCCCCTCCAAAACCCCACGTTAAAGAAAAAGATCGGCGATCATCGATGTTTCCTATGACAGGCTTCGACATGATGCATTTGAATAACTAAATTGTGTAAATCCTGAAAGGGGGGGCTTTAATTTATTTGAAGCGGGTGGGAGAATTGAATAGTTAAAATAATGAAAATAATTAACTAGATTAGTTAATTAAACTAATTAAGCTAATTAAATGAATGAGATTTTAAATACTCTAAATCCTGAAAGGCCGGAGGGGGGGGGGGCAGCTCCTTCCTTCTGAGGGGGTTTCAATACTTTAAATCTTTAAATATGAAGCCCCTATTGAAACATGAAGGCCCCATCAGATTTAAATTATCTCTTCTTTTTTTACGTTCCCTTCGCGGGAGGGGGCCAGGCCCCGCCCCCCCATCAGGATTTATTAAACTATTTAAAATATTAGAAATATTGAGTTTTTTTAAATGATTTAATTAAACAATCTCCCCGAATTAAATAATTTGAGTATGAAGGTCTCTATTTATATATGAAGGCCCCTCCATATTTACTTTATCTAATTCTCTGCCCCGAATTAAGTAATGTAAACATGAAGGCCCCTCCACATTCAAATTCTTGACTTTGGGGGAGGGGGGGAGACTTAAATTAAAAATCTAAATAGTTTGAATACATCAAATCCTAAGAAATGGAGGGGGGGTAGCTCCCCCCCTTCTGGAGGGAATGAAACAGCTAATCTTTTATATGAAGATCCCTATTTAAATATGAAGGCCCCTTCAGATTTAAATGATTGAATTCCCCCGGTGGGAGGGGGCCAGAAAACATTACTGTAAATAAGCTAGATAATTTAAATCCTGCAAGGGGGGAGGGCGGAGGGGGGGGGGGGGGCTCTCTGCTTCTGAGGGGAGTCAGATAAGTTAAATAAGTAAAAATGAAGGCACCCTCAGATTTAAACTTCATTTAATTCTGCTAGGCCCTCTTTCAGGATTTAATTGTCTAAAATAGTTTCTTTATATAATTTATGTAAATTATTCAATTCCCTCCCCGAATGAAGAAATGAAATATGAAGCCCCCTTCACATGAAATTGCATACACTTGGTGAATATTTAAACACGAAGGCCCCTATTTAAATATGAAGACCCTTCCATATATACATTATTTAGTTCAGGGGGTGAAGTGGGGGGGGGGGCAGCTCCTGCCTTACCCCTTGCCTTTTGCTTGGAAATGAAGTGTTTGAGGGGCTCCAGTGCATGCCCGGACCCCCCCCCTGCCCCCCCCGCCCCCCCCACCCGCCCCGCCCACCCCGCCCACTGCCCCCCCACCTCCCCGATTCTCACCCCTTCGCCTCTGCCCCCCCCCCCCACTCACCCCTTACCCCCCACCTCACCCCTACCCCTGACCTTTTACTTGCAAATGATGTCAGGGGTTTAGGGCATCCCCCCCCCGCCCACCCCGCCCACCCCGCCCCGCCCCCAACCCCCCCCCACCCCCCCGCCATCACCGCTTACCCCCCACCTCACCCCGGATCGGCTCGCCTGGTTAAGGGGGTTGAGGGTTTAGTAGTTTGGGGTTTAAGGGTTCAGGGTTTCGAGTTTAAGGTGTGAGGTTTAGGGTTTAAGGTTGCGCGCCAACTCCCTGCGCGTGAAGACTCAATGTTTCGCCCCCCCTGACCTCTAGAACCTATGGATATATGTAAGCGCAATGTAGGGGGTGTTTGTGTAAACCCTAGGGCCTCCTGTCGGGGTCGGCGGCATTGGCGGTAGCCATTAAATCGGGCAGCGCGAGGTCCCCAAAGGACCGAGCAAATGCGGACCTTTTAGCCCGGGTCGTCCCGGGAATAGCCTTGCTGGCCTCTGGCCTTCTGCGAAGCAGAATTAGGCCAGACGCCAGTGCCGCCGACCCCCGCGTGCCGCCGGTGAACGGTTTTTTTTTTCGTGGTTTTTTGCGTCGCCACGGAGGCCCCCAGAGGGCGCGCATCATGAGCATCAGCGGGTCCAGCCCGGGACCCCCAGGCGCGCATCAGGAGCATCAGCGGCTCCCGGGGCGGGACCGTGGGGGGGCATCAGGAGCATGATGCCCCCCAAAGGGCGGGCATAAGCGACGTGTCTAAGCCCGGGGCTAGGAAAAAGGGAGTTTAGGGGCCTTATAAAGTGCTTAGAAACGTTAAGGGAGTCTCGGAGCCTCAAACGCTTAGAGATTTGAAGGGGGTTTAGGGGCCTGAAAATGCTTAGAAACTTAACGCTTAGAGATTTTAAGGGAGTTTAGGGGCCTCAACATGCTTAGAAACTGCTCGCCCCGGGCTTCTGCGTGCGCTGCCCGCCCATGGGCGCAGCCCTTTAAATAAATTATGTAAATTATTAAACTATCTATATATATGTTTAAGTGGCATTTAAGTCCCTCCCGAATTCACTAATTTGAATATTAAGGCCTAAGTAAATATGAAGGCTCCTCTATTTCTTAAAATATTTAGATTGCTTAATTCTCCTCGCCGAATTACATAGTCTAAGTACGAAGGCCCCTATTTAAATAGCAGACTTTTGAGGCCATCAGATGATTTGATCTGTGACATGGAGAGGCAAATCTGCGATTTCAAATCTGCGAATCTGCGTTTTCTCGGGAAAAACGCAGATTTCAAATCTGCGAATCTGCGTTTTTTCGGGAAAAACGCAGATTCGCAGATTTGCAGATTGGTTGGGGGCTACAAATCTGCAAATCTGCGTTTTCTCGAGGAAACGCAGATTCGCAGATTTGCAGATTAACTGGTTGGGGCTACAAATCTGCGAATCTGCGTTTTCTCAAGGAAAACGCAGATTTCAAATCTGCGAATCTGCATTTTCTCGAGGAAACGCAGATTCGCAGATTTGCAGATTGGTTTGGGGCAACAAATCTGCGAATCTGCGAATCTGCGTTTTCTTGAGGTTTCGCAGATTCGCAGATTTGCAGATTGGTTGGGACTACAGATCTGCGAATCTGCGTTTTCTCGAGAAAAACGCAGATTTCAAATCTGCGAATCTGCGTTTTCTCGAGAAAAACGCAGATTCGCAGATTTGCAGATTGGTTGGGGGCTACAAATCTGCAAATCTGCGTTTTTTCTCGAGGAAACGCAGATTCGCAGATTTGCAGATTAATTGGTTGGGGCTACAAATCTGCGAATCTGCGAATCGGTGACCTGAGACGTGGGGTTTTGGGGGGGGGGGGGGGGTACCATATATATATATATATATATACAGAGAGAGATAGATAGATATTTCTTTTTTCTGCTACGCCTCTCTACCTTTAAACCTTAACCCTATGGCCTATAGGGTTTTAAAGGTCAAGCGTTTAGGACCCTTAAGGTTTAAACTCGATGGGCTTACTATTTGAACTTGTAAACCCTAAACCTTCAAACCTTAACCCTATCGTCTTCAAGCTTAAGTGTTTAGGCCCCTCAAGATTTAAAGCCTATGGGCTTTGGTTTAAATACCTAAATCTTAACGCCTAAACCGTTAAACCTGAACCCCATACGCGTAAAAGCTACGGGTTTCGGTTATATTGCTTAACCGGCTCACAAAAAAAGCATCGGTTTTACTGATGTTTTTTCAAGGCGGGCTTTCAAATACATCGGTAAAACCGATGTGTTGGAGAGGCCACCCTCAGGAAATATCGGTAACACCGATGTTTTGTGAGCCCAGGGCCCTGAAACATCGCAAAAACCCAAAACCATTAAAAAAAAAAAAAACCTGATTGTCGAATCTACTCGGCCGATCCAGCCACTAGATTGGGCAATCAAGTTTTGTATGGTTTTTATTGGGTTTTCGCGATGTTTCAGGACCATGGGCTTTACCGATGTTTCCTGAGCGTGTCTTCTCAAAAGCACTGACGCTCTGAGAGACGAAGACGGCCGTGTTGAGGCCGGCACTTGTAGCGGAGGGTGAAAAAGGTAGGTGCATAAGGGGGAGGGGGGGGGGGGTAGGGGGGGAGGGGGGGAGGGGGGGAGGGGGGGGGAAGGGGGGGAGGGGGGGAGGGGGGGCGGAGGGGGAGCGGGGGAGGGGGGGACAAGGAGGGGGGGGACAAGGAGAGGGGCGGACGGGGAGGGGGGGACGGGGAGGGGGGCGGGGGGGAGGGGGGGAGGGGGGGGGGGGGGAGGGGGGGAGGGGGGGGAGGGGGGGAAGGGGGGAGGGGGGAGGTGGGGAGGGGGGAGGGGGGGAGGGGGGGAGGGGGGGAGGCGGGAGGGGGGGAGGGGGCGAGGGGGGGAGCGGGGGGAGGGGGGGGGCAGGGGGGAGGGGGGGGGGGAGGGGGGGGGGGGGGGGGAGGGGGGGAGAGTGGGAGGGGGGGAGGGGGGGAGGGGGGGGGAGGGGGGGAGGGGGGAGGGGGGGAGGGGTGGGTGCGGGGGGGGAGGGGGGGAGGGGAGGTGGGAGGGGGGGGAGGGGGGGGGGGGGGGGGGGTGGGTGGCTTAAATAGGGTCTATTTGGAAGCTGAGACTCGGGTTTTTAGACTAACCAATGCGTCTCCACGAGAGATTCTTGGAAGCTGAGAGTGGTGTTTTTGTGTGGTAGATACAAAGGAAAGGGCATAAGAAAGTAGCGAAAGGAGCTCCTCAATTCCCTTCCTTATCTCCTATCCTTTTTTCTTTATTCATTGCAACAGGAGAATACAGGAAAAGGGC